TAATGTGTAATATGTAAACATATCACAAACACATCTTTTCTGCGCGGTTCATTGTTCATCAGCAGATTTTTATCAGCCAACAAATAAAATCAGCCGTTTGTTTTTCAGGATTAAAACATTAAACCAGTCATCCAGTAAAATGCTGTTTTCCTATTTCGACATCCACACTCACTAATGCCCTGCGCACCTGTTGATTATGTTTTTGTCTACAGGCCTTGAAATGCATGAATCAACTTTACTCATTAGAAAACACTCACAGAACTTCAATTTATCCCCTTCGTCTAAAAGCTTAAACAAATACGTGATTAAAACAAAAGTATAGAATGTGATGCTGCTCGTCTGCAGCCGGTCGGTCGCTCAAGTTGCTGCTGTAAACATGCTAGTCTTTGTTGTCGTGCCACATTAGACGGATTTACGAGCCACGGTCAGTGATTGTGTTGTGTTTGTTTTCTGAAAGGTTACATCAGTTGTTAGTTTTGCTAATTGTGCGTCTGTCTGTTGTGTCTCAGGCGTCCTCGTCTCCAGCGTGGTGCTGCTGCTCTCCCAGAAAGCCTTGTTCAAGTTCTACACACTTTTCTTTGCCGTTCTCCTCGGCATGGCGGCGGTCCTCATCAACTACTACGCCACTTCCCACATAGACTTCTACAGCGCCTACTACAAAGCGGCCCTTGGGTTCAGGTTGCTGCCCAGAAACGGCCCGACGCTGTGGCTGGGGATGGCCGCTGTCCAGCTCGTGCTCGGCGTGGGCTACGTGTTCCTGCTCAACCTCCAGTCAGTATTTGCCGCGCTGGTGGTGCTGGACATCATGATCCCTCTGTGGGGGCTGATGATCGAGCTGCCGGCAGACGTGAGACAGCTGGTGGCCGTGTTCTCGGGCCTGGCGTTGGCCCTCAACACAGCTGTGTGCCTCGCCATGAGGCTGAAATGGTTCTACTACTCATGTCGGTACGTCTACCTGCTCGTGCGGCACATGTACAGGATCTACGGACTTCAGCTGCTGCTCGAGGACACGTGGAAGAGGATCAGGTTCCCTGATGTGCTGCGGGTGTTCTGGCTGACCAGGGTCACTGCCCAGGCGCTGATCCTGGTCTACGTGGTGCAGGCGGTGAGGAGGGAGAGCGGTGATGCTACAGGAGGTGCCACAGACGGGGGCTCGGACTCACAGGTAGGATCGTACTTATCAGCTCATCTGCATGTCTTTAAAAAACATGGAATATATTGTTTCCTTGTCTCTTAGTAGCTTTATTGTTTTGAATGTGGTTGTAAGATGATGATGCAGGAGGTCATGTCTGTGTTAGCTGCTTGATAGACAGTTCATCATGTTGAGTCTCTGCACTTCCTGAAAGTTCCTGAGATGCTCTGGAGGTTCTTTATCTGAGAACGCAAATGTCCAAGTCAGTTGCTCTGGAACTTTTCCTGCAGCCTCCTAGAAAAATGTCAGAGTCGGTGAGGGAGTAGACGCAACGTATATTGACGTGCATCGCTGTTTTCAGGGTTACCTGCTGAGCTGGGACGTGTTCTGGGATCTGACGAGTAACCTGATCATCTCCGGCTGCGACTCCACACTCACCGTGCTGGGGATGAGCGCCGTCATCTCCTCCGTCGCGCACTACCTCGGCCTCAGCATCCTGGCCTTCATAGGTAAGTCGGCATGTTTGTTTCGCATATGTGTACAAATACACTGGCTGTAAAAATGTGTCTGAAGTCCAGTGTTGTGTCTCCTCAGGTTCGACGGAGGAGGAGGACAAGCGTTTAGGCTTCGTGGCTCCTGTTCTGTTCTTCATCCTGGCTCTGCAGACCGGCCTCAGCAGCCTGGACCCAGAGGAACGTCTGGTGCGTCTCTGCAGCTCCACAGTTATTCACAGATTGTACTCAAGTCTATTTGTAACCAATCACATGAATCATTTTAGAACATAATAATAAACTCTGCCCCATGTTTTCTTCAAGTGTCTCTTTCAAATAGCAGAAACTCGGTAAATGAGAACCATCTGTCCACAGGTTCGTCTGAGCCGGAACATGTGCCTTCTGCTGACGGCCATCCTACACTTCATCCACGGCATGACCGACCCCGTCCTGATGTCCCTCAGCGCCTCCCACGTCTCCTCATTTCGCCGCCACTTCCCTGTCCTGCTGGTGTCCCTGGCACTATTTGTGCTCCCCGTGGCGCTCAGCTACACCCTCTGGCACCACTACGCCCTCAACACCTGGCTGTTCGCCGTCACCGCCTTCTGCGTGGAGCTCTGCCTCAAGGTGAGGAAGAATCTGCTGTTGAGTTAATAACGACACGCTCTGATACAGTACTTCCTGTGTGGTTACCTCCTGTTTCTCAATCTGTAAACTCTAAAATCTGTTTCTCAGAATCGGTTTTGATGATCGTGTCTCGTTGATTTCTGTGAATAGTTCAGAAACAGTGAAGAATGTTTTTCTGTGGCTTATTTGACCAGTTTTCTGTCCCAGTGTTATGTTTTTTACGAGGGATTTTAATTTCAATATCGCCGCAGTAAACACTCACTGTTATTTCAGGTTTGATAAAAATCGAGATGCTGTTCATTTCTGAAAACAATGATGGTTCCGTGAATATTTAATTCAGCAGACGGCAGCAGCATTGATTCGTAGGAGGAGTCATGTAAGTCGTTTCTCTCCCTCCAGGTCGTTGTGTCGCTGACGGTCTACAGCCTCTTCATGGTCGATGGCTTCTCTAACGTCCTCTGGGAGAAGCTGGATGACTACGTCTACTACGTGCGCTCCACAGGCAACATCATCGAGTTCCTGTTCGGCGTCATTATGTTCGGAAACGGGGCCTACACCATGATGTTCGAGTCGGGCAGCAAGATCCGCGCCTGCATGATGTGCCTGCACGCCTACTTCAACATCTACCTGCAGGCCAAGAACGGCTGGAAGACCTTCATCAACCGCCGGACGGCCGTCAAGAAGATTAACTCCCTGCCGGAGATTCGTGGGGATCAGCTGAGGGACATCGATGACGTGTGCGCCATCTGTTACCAGGAGTTCGCCACCTCGGCCCGCATCACGCCCTGCCACCACTATTTCCACGCGCTGTGCCTGAGGAAGTGGCTCTACATCCAGGACACGTGCCCAATGTGCCACCAGAGAGTTTACGTTGAAGACGAGAGCCGGGACAGAGCCGCCTTCTCTAACAACAATGGGAACTACGCAGCGCCGCAGGACGCTGCTGCCGCTGCCCCACCGGCTCCGGGGGAAAACCAGCACGGACAGCTGCCCGCAGAGCTGCCGGCCGAGGGAGCGGCAGCCGGCGCGCAGGCCGCAGGAGCAGCGGGGGAGCTCAACAATGAGCTGCTGGAGGACAACGACAGCATAGAGTACGACGAAGACGAGTGGGGGACTCAAAATGGCAGCACGCCGATAGAAGAAGACTATATCAATGACGACACTGACTCCACCGAGGACTGAGAAGATCTATAGAAAACAAATGTCTTTATTATATTTAAGTTAAAAAATAATTATAAAACATCTTAATTACTTCTGGGAGATGTCAGGGATGTCACGTCTTTTTTTTTTCTTGTTAGTTTCTTTTCATTTGATTTTGGGTTTAACTCTATAAGGGCTCGTGGAAACTGCTGCTCATGTTCGGCGTGTGCATGTGTGTGCTTACGTGTGTGTGTGAGTGGACGTGTGAGTGTGTTGGGGCTGCATGAATTCATAATGTTGTTCATCTCTCTTACTTTATTCCAGAAGAGATCCTGATAAGAATCGTCTGTTCACATTTTATCTCTCGATGCCTCAAACCTGACGCTCATCAGCAAATCTAAATACCAGATTTTCTGCTCTCTGAGAATCTGCACGACACGAATCTACCAGTGACATCACCACTTTGTTAAGAAGTCTGTCGCTCGTGCAGCCCTGATGTTAATTTGTGTGTGATGGGAAGAATTTGTGTCATTGTGTGTGTGTGCGCCTGCCGACGTATAATGTGCTTAGACGATGTCTTAAAGATGCAGTTCTTGTTTCCTTGCAGTGTGTTATTGGGGAAACGCTGCAGTGTTTTAGTTCATTAACGACAAAACTGTGGAGCGACTTAACAAATTCAAGCTGCCGGACGTGAGTCTGTAGAAAAAAACAGATTTTAAGGAGGAAAAAGTGATTTTTGGTTTTTTAGCTTCGATTTAAAACCTTCTCAGACGTGAGAAACACCTGCTCAACATTTTTGTCTTTAACGAACTCCAGGAGAATATTTGTGAACTTGTTCGGAGAGCGAGTGAAGCGGTTTTCTACCAGCTCTGCACCAACCAGAGAGAAAAGCTGAGGTGTGTCAGACTAAAAGGTGACTTGCTACTGTAATCACTGAGATACCTCTATCATTACTACTGGTCCCTTGTGTGACCTTGCTTACATTTGTGTACGTTATTGTACATGTAATAAAAGAAAACACGTGCACACTTCCTCCCATAGAATAAGAGAAACATTTTTAAATGAAACTTTGCACATTCTAGAAATTGCTGTTGGAGCTGGTTTGGAGATGTAGTGGAAGAAACAAGACATGGTGTAATCTCAAAAAAGAAAAGTATTGGGTGAAATGATAAATTCTTCCTCATTAAATTTAAATGTCACAAAAAAATACGACGTAGAAGTTTGGTGCCGGTTGTTTTGACGGAACTGAGTTTAAAGGAGACACATGTGGTCGAGGGAGCTGCACAGAAAAACACTGAGGGTCCTGAAACGCCTCGTCAGTTGAACGACTGCTCTATTGTGATGTCACGTGACAGATTGGCGTTAGTGCCCGGTCACACAGATGTTCACTTGTAATCTGTGCAAACAAGGGGGCGAATAAAACATTCTCTTTCTGCGGCGAAGCAAATCAGCAGCTTCAAGTTCATCTCTGGGGATCTTTGATCCGCACTATTCGTCTGACACCACGCGGCTAATCTGGCACGCCCCCTAATACTCAGCCGAGACCAACGTAGCTGTTAAAGAGACCGGAGCTAAAACCAAGTGTTTGAGACAGAGACTGTAAAGAGGAGCTGCAGCGATGGACAGTCTGAGGACACTGATGTGTTTTCTGAACATTAGAGCGTGAGATCTTTAAAATGATCAACCTGAAGATGAGCAGATTGTCTCCTTTAAAGACTTGTTCCTTTCAAATGGAAAAAAGTATTATAATTACTTTTGTGTCTGAGCAGTTTTATCCAGTAAATGCACTTTTCTTTTTGTTTCTAATCACTGGCACAGACACGTCGGCAAACAGACGCTCAAACTGTGTTTCTAGTCTCAGGGTCCTGCTGCAGGGGTGGAAGAGGTCTTTCAATTTGTGGAAACATTTCAAGCCTCGGGAGAAAAAAAAAGAATGAAGGAGCTGCAGGAAAGTTTGGACAAGTTCAGATCTTTTCTTGCTGTAGTAAACCTACAGCTGCTTCGTTTCATACAGTTTATACTTGTTGAAAAGTTGAGCTACAGCAGCAGACGTCCCATAAACACTGATCCAAAAAAACTACTGGCTCGAAACTTAATTTTTCCTTGTTCTCCTCAGCGACCGCAGGTCAAGCACAAACTCTGAGTATTAACACTGTTTAGACTTCCACAGCCTGAACGTCTTAAAGGTTTGACTGCAAACCCGTGTTCATTACTGTTGTAATTACTGGCCGCAGACAATAAGCTGTAAGGAAAGCATCATGTTTAATGAGGAAGACACGGAATCTGAAGATGATGATGATGATGATGATGATGATTAGAAAGCTGTGCTTTTTGACGTGTCAGCGATGAAGGATTATTTGGTGGATTGTTCTGAAAGCTTTTTAAAAAGGTAAAAAGTGTTGATTTTGCCTTTTGTTTTAAAAGGAGATTTATGTAAATAAAATCATCTTTGATAATGAGTTTGGACTGAATCTTAAAACTCACTGAAACCAACTTTAAATGATTCTTTACAACAGTGAATATAAATCCAGAGCAGAACTACTCCCCTTAAACTAGACAGACGTAGTCGAGTAGCTTCACCGGTAGATGGCGCCATTCTAACATTGTAGGATTGGTGTCAATTCAAAAAGATGTTTTCATTATTTAATAATTATCTGAAACTATGATTTGTGTTTTCTTTACCATGACACGAGCTTCATCTGCATCAGGAGCCGGTCGTTTACCACAGAGAGAGCCAGAAAAGACAATCCGCACACCCACGGAATATTCAACAATAGAATTCTTTACCCCTGAGAGCTTTTCATCTGTACAAGTACAACTACGTGTACAACTACAGGACAACGATCCACGACAGAGTATAAAGAAATACACTGAATACGCTATTTCCACATTAATGTATGTAATCCTACAAATAAATGTAGAACTACATAATTAAATAAATGAAGAAATGAATAAACAATTAACACACAGAAATAAATAAACGATGCAGAAAATGAATATGGTACAAACATGGAAATAGTCTTTGTCACACACCGAATATATCCCCCACATATTTATTAATGATGTATTTGTGTTTACTGATTGATATACATGTACTTGTTGTATTCCGTCCTTTATTAATGTATGTCGTCATGTATTTATAGTTACAGACACATTAGATTATTTCTAATTCTTTTAATAGTTCATTAAATCTAGAAATACGATAATTACTTCACTGCACACTGAATTAGTTTTTTATTTTTTAATGTTTATTATTACGTCATCTTATGTCCCACTGATGGACTCGTGCTTTTTTCGTGAAATGTATGACCGGAAGCACAAGGTTTTATTTTGAAATCCCGCCGCCGGAAATGTCGCAGGTTTGATTCCGGCTTGACTCCGCTGTTCCATTGCTGCTCCGCTGAACTTGGGCAGAACCGAACTCCGGAGCCGAGCCTGTGACCGGACCCTCCGGAGCAGGAGACGGTGTGAGGGCCGGAGACATGTCCGCCGGTTTAACTCCACTTTACCCGAGTTTGAAGCACCGACCCGCCGCTGTTCGTGCCGCCGAGCCCGGGTCCGCGTGAGGGACCGAGACACAAGTTGAACCGGAGACAAACAGGTTTAACGTTTCACGGTTTACTTTCACCGCCATGACCCAGCTGCGTCTCCTCCGAGCCGCCGGACTCCAGCTGCTGAAGCCGGCTCCGACTCCTCCGCTGCCCCGGGTGCTGCTGCCGCCGCCGCCGGGGATAGGGCGACACGCGCCGGGCCGCCGCATGGGCACACACGGGAGGAGCGAGCCCGGGGAACCGCTGAACTCCCCGAAGAGAGCCAAGGAGTTCATCTACCGCCTCCAGCCGCCGGAGAGGACGTGTCTGCTGAGGGAGCTGCAGAGCTTCGAGTCCATGGCCATCGCTCAAGGTAAGAGACTGCGGGTCAAAGGTCACAGCTTCCACCTGACAGGTCACCACCTGAGAGAGGTCACCTGACAGGTCCTGAGAGAGGAGGTCACCTGA